CTAAAAAAATCATTGCTACTGATAGTTATGAACCCCAATCTAACAGAATTTTTTTTTAAAAAAAAAAATCTTTACTAGCAGTTTTGAACCCAATCCTTTATTATTGGTAGTTTTGAACTCACACTTTCATTACTAGTAGTTTTGAACCCAAGGCTAGAACTTAAAGAAGAACCGAATTTTTTTAATAAGATATTTACTGATATTTAACTCAATTCTTTGTTACTGGTAGTTGAACCTGCCCTTTTATTACTAGTAGGTTTGAACCCAAGGCTAGAACCTAAAGAAGACCTTCATTACTGATAGTTATGAACGCAATCCAATAAAATTTAAAAAAAAATCTTTACTGGTAGTTTTAAACCTGCTCTTTTATTACTAGTAGTTTGAACCCAAGGCTAGAACCTAAAGAAGACCTTCGTTACTGATAGTTATGAATGCAATCTAATAGAATTTAAAAAAAAAAAATCTTTACCGGTAGTTTTGAACCCGCCCTTTCATTACTAGTAGTTTGAACTTAAGGCTAGAACCTAAAGAAGACCTTCGTTACTGATAGTTATGAATGCAATCCAATAGAATTTTAAAAAAAAATCTTTCTCGGTAGTTTTGAACCCGCCCTTTCATTACTGGTAGGTTTGAACCCAAGGCTAGAACCTAAAGAAGGCCTTCGTTACTGGTAATATGAATCCAATCCAATAGAATTTTAAAAAAAATCTTTATCGGTAGTTTTGAACCTGCCCTTCTAATACTAGTAGTTTGAACCCAAGGCTAAGACCCTCATTATGAACCCAATCTAATAGAATTTAAAAAAAGAAAAAATCTTTACTGGTAGTTTTGAACCCACCCTTTCGTTACTACTAGTTTTGAACCTAAGGCTAAAACCTAAAAAAGACCTGGTAGTTATGAACCCAATCCAATTTTTTTTTTTAAAAAATATCTTTATCGGTAGTTTTGAATCCAATCCTTCGTTACTGATAGTTTGAATATGCCTTTTTGTTACTGATAGTTTTGAACCCAAGGCTAGAATCTAAAGAAGACCTTCGTTACTGGTAGTTAGGAACTCAATCCAATGGAATTAAAAAAAAAAATCTTTACCAGTTTTGAACCCCAAGGCTAAAACTAAAGAAGACCTTTGTTACTAGTAGTTATGAACCCAATCCAATAGAATTTTTTTTTTAAAAAAATCTTTTTACCAGTAGTTTTGAACCCAATCCTTCGTTACTGGTAGTTTGAACCTGCCCTTTCATTACTGGTAGTTATAAACTTAATCCAATAGAATTTAAAAAAAAAAGAAATCTTTACTGGCAGTTTTGAACCCGCCCTTTCGTTACTGGTAGTTTTGAACCCAAGGCTAAAATAAAGAAGATCTTCATTACTAGTAGTTATAAACCCAATCTAATGAATTTTTTTTTTAAAAAGATCTTTACTGGTAGTTTTGAACCCAATCCTTCGTTACTGGTAGTTTGAACCTGCCCTTTCATTACTGGTAGTTTTGAACCCAATCCTTCGTTACTGGTAGTTTGAACCTGCCCTTTCATTACTGGTAGTTTTGAACTCAAGGCTCTAACCTAAAGAAGACCTTCGTTACTGGTAGTTATGAATCCAATTCAACAGAATTTAAAAAAAATCTTTACTAGTAGTTTTGAACCCAAGGCTAGAATCTAAAAAAGACCTTCGTTACTGATAGTTATGAACCCAATCCAATTTTTTTTTTAAAAAAAATCTTTATCGATAGTTTTGAACCCAATCCTTCACTACTAGTAGTTTAAACCCGCCCTTTTGTTACTGGTAGTTTTGAACCCAATAGAATTTTTTTAAAAAAATCTTTACCAGTAGTTTTGAACCCGCCCTTTCATTACTGGTAGGTTTGAACCCAAGGCTAGAATCTAAAGAAGGTCTTCGTTACTGGTAATATGAACCTATCCAATAGAATTTAAAAAAAATCTTTACCAGTAGTTTTGAACTCAAGGCTAGAATCTAAAAAAGACCTTCGTTACTAATAGTTATAAACCCAATCCAATTTTTTTTAAAATAAAGATCTTTATCGATAGTTTTGAACTCAACCCTTCGTTACTGGTAGTTGAACCTGCCCTTTTGTTACTAGTAGCTTTGAACCCAAGGCTATAATCTGAAGAAGATCTTTATCCTGGTAGTTATGAACTCAATCCAATAGAATTCAAAAAACTGGTAGTTTTAAACCTAAGGTTAGAACTTAAAGAAGACCTTTGTTACTAGCAGTTTTGAATGCAATCTAATAAGTTTACTGGTATTTTTCCGTTACTAGCAGTCATGAACCCATTTACTAGAGTTTAAAAAAAAAGCCTATTTTGGCATATAAACTTAGCTACTGTACTTGTAATTATTTAGAAAACTTTTGCTACTAGTAAATTTTTAAAACGATATATGCACGTAAATGATTGGTTAATTTGTTAGAGATTTAAAATTTCTAGAACAGTTGCGTTGCTATTTTTAGATTACAATTTTAGTTGATCACATGTTATGTCAGAATGTTTTAAACCTGATTTACTCAAAATTGTTTATATTGCAAAATGGGCCTTTTTAATATGAATGACCCCATATGTTTTCTTCTTTATTAATATAAAGAAGAAAACATATAGTCGCGAAGACTAAAATACTTATATCTCACAATTCACTAGACTAATTTTAATATTTTAATCGTCATTCTGATCACAAAACACTTCTCTATAACTTTACTTAGGTGTTAAAAAGAGGTTTATTTAATAAAGAAAAAACTTTTTCTTTGGAAAACTCCAGATTCCAAATATAATAGTAAATTTCCCCACTTTTTACTATATTTTGTCACTAGTTTGTAGGTGAACCACAAATTAATATTTGTCGTGGCTGATTATGAAATCGGATTATTGTAAAATTTGGGGTCTCAATTTGAAAATATAGACCCTACCAAAATCTACCAATACTCTTTTATTAAAAACTCTAACTCTA